CCTGGCAATGAAGCCCAGGGGAAAGAAAGAAACAGTCTAACCTGGATGCTGCCTCCTGGCACTGGTTTACTAGGGGAGGCCTGAGGATGTCTGGGTGGCATCTCCATTTCTGGCTCTCTCTTGGAAGGGCACAATCCCCACCTAAGACTCGGGTTGGGTCCAACTTTTTGGCTCATGACTTATACATCACAAGAAATTCATCCTTTGGACTTGCGAGTTATGGTGCTGTGTGGGGCAGTTCTGAGGAAATAATTAACAATTATTTCAGAGGAGAAGCTTCCAGCCGGAGCCGCACCTTGTGGTGGTGGCTCACACATCTCACAAAGAACTGTTATTTAAGCAATAATCCTTGAGAAATTGGTCGTTACCCACATTAAACGACTCAGCCCATTGCCAAGGATGGTTAACGCTCTAATAAACTGGTCATTAACTGCAGTAACAATGAATTTCGAGGGGATTATTGCTATTATAAACCTTAATCAATGGTTTATAACAGCAATAATGTGGTCCTTTCTCTTAATGGTAAGTAGGGCAGCTTGTACCATTGCCTTGAGAATTTTTTTTTTTGTGGTGGCTGATAATTTTGAGGGGAGGTGTTGGAAGGACCGCCCACTCTGGAAACAAACCAAGGAAAGTAAAGGTCACGTGGGGCAACCTTGGTTGCCTGTGTGTCATCAAGGGACCTGAGATGTTCACAGAGCTTGGGATTCTCCTCAGCTCAGTTGGACCTTCTGCCCTGCAGACCCAGTAAGACTTCAGACCCCTGGTCCAGCATGACTCTCTGGATCAGGGATACAGCGTAGCCTGGTCATCTTTATGGATAAATATTTGCTTAGGAGACAGATGTGGCAGGATATACAGGGGACATAAATGCTCAGATCTGTCACTAACTTGTCACATGATTCCAGGTGACATGTCTCCTTTTGGTGATTCTAGAAAGATGGATCTGGGGATAAGTCGCTTCTCAAGTTCAGTCTAGTATGACATACCAAGGCTTTTCTAACGACATTGGCATCTTGTGTTAGCACGCTATTAGAAAGCAGTAATATGAAAAACTTAAGCATGCTTGGTATTGTTTTTAGTTGCTTACATATATTAACTCGATGAATCTTTGAAATGGTTTACTTCTGTAGTAGAGAACCCTGAGGCAGAAGAGACAGAAAAGCTTGCCTGAACCACCGAGCTGTTATGAAGCAAGGCTGGGAATTGAACAGGGTCATCCTTCGTTATTAGAAAGGTATAGGTTCTGTGACCACCCCCTCTCCAGCAGATGCCTGAACCTGCAGATAATGCCAAACCCTACGTACTGAATGTGCCAAACCCTACATATTGAATGTACAAGTGTCCCTATGAAACTTAAGAACAATAACTAATAGTGAGAAAGAATGATTATGGCAAAGCTCTCCTAAAAGTGATATGGGCATTATTTTTTCTCTCACTGCCATATGGTGGGTAGTTTATATAATGTGGATATGCTGGACACGGTGGCTTTCATGCCTCAAGCAGGATGGTACTGGATAACATGAACATTCACTGTATGACTCGGGAGTGATACCAGTTTAAAATATATGAAGTATTTTGGGGATTTATTATTAATAGCTCAGCTATTATTAATAGCTCATCTGCTGTGGAGCCCAACATCTGTGCTCCTGCTTCCCCTTTCCACTCTGCCTGAAAGACCCTCTTCATACTCACCTCAGTAGGTGCATCCTTACAGATAGGCAGGCTGAGGCTATCTTCTTGGGTCTCCAGATGACGAAGGCAGAGCTCTAAGAGATGTGGGGACCTACTAAAGTAGATGCAATATGGCTGAGTCTTGCTGGTTCTGTCCCCCCTTTTGCCTCTGCCTGTGCTAGTGAGACCCAAGTCCAGGAACTGCTACCTCCAATTCCATGAGCAGGCTGCAGCCTGAGGCTATGCTACTTCTTTCTCCCACACCACAGAGAGAATGAAGGTTCACCCCCTCGCCCCCATCACTAGAAGCCTGCTCCAGGACATAGAGGGCAGCTCTTTTATTACAGTTGGGCATTGCATGGAATGTATTGGAAAATAGACCTTGGGGATCAGGATGATTTTGTTAAAAAAAAGTTTCCTTTATTAAGGGAAATTTGAATCATGTATAGAAGAATAGTGTATTTGCCCTTCTCCTCATGTACGCTTTGCTAGATGTAGAAATATCAACTGCTGGTTTATTTGTTTTATTCGACATCCCTCACTCTGTACCTACCTTGCATTACTCCAGAGTAAACCATGGGTACCATATATTTTCACCTGCTTTAATACAGACTTAAAGAATTAAAAAGTAATTAAAAGATCAGGCCTTTAAAAAGTAGTGACGGTTCCTTAGCAGAATCAAATACCCAGTTACATCGCAGGCTGACATCACAGGTTTCTCAGCTTGTCTGTCAATGTAGCTGGAGGCTTCTCTTGGCTCCAACCATCTGCAGGTTCTGGGATCAATGATGAATCCCATTTGCTCAGCCAGAGCAGGAAAGGTGCATCCGGTGTCCCTTCCCTCTGTCACCCGGTGGTTGAACGACAGTGTTTGTTGTCAGGCACATGTCCTCTACACATCACCCCGAGGAAGCCTCTGGACGCTGCCACCCACCCACAGGGGCCTTTCCAGCTGACCTCTTCCCCGGCAGCACACTCTACAGGATCTGTTGAAGAGGGAATGGGGGAGCCGTCTTTGACTTGAGTCCTGGCAGACTGCAGTCTGTCTGTACAGGGAGAGAGATGCCTGGTGACCTTTCTCAAATGTGAGACCAGAGGAGGCCAGCTGCATTCTCATAAGTACGTGGTGCAGAGCCTCTCCTTGGGGTATGAAAAATCCCACCCCCTTGCTTAGCCTGGTTATGTGGGTGACAATCCCCTACTGACACCCCTGCCTCTCCCTCCCCCCATTCAGGTGCATCTTGAGATGGCTGGGCTGGGTGTGTGAAAAATCTCTGGAGACATTTCCAAACTTTATATTTTCTTCTGGGATCCACACACATCCATAAGCATGGTGGTTTGAATAAGAATGGCCCCCTTAGGCTCATAGATTTAAATGTTTGGTCATTAGGGAGTGTTTTACTGGAGAGGGGGATGATGATAAGGAGGTGTGACTTTGTTGGAGTAGGTGTTGGAGGAAGTGTATCACAGCAGGTGGGCTTTGGGGTTTGAGAAGCTCTAGCCAAGCCCAGTGTCTCTCTCTCTCTCATCTTACTGTCCTTGATTCTGGATGTAGGACTCTCAGCTCCTCTTCAGCACCATGTCTGCCTGCATGCCACCATGCTTCCTGCCATGATGACAATAATGAACTAAACCTTTGAACTATAAGCCGGCCCCAGTTAAATGCTTTCCTGTATAAGAGTTGCTGTGGTCGTGGTGTCTCTTCACAACAATAGAACACTGGCTAAGACAAGGAGTTCAGCCTCTGCTCCGTGTGTTCAGTCCCCATGTCCCTTTCCTTCACACAGCTGGTGTTCATGCTAAATTGTATTCTTGTTCTCTTGATGTGCTAAACCTTGTCTTGGTTTAATAACTTACCAGTGTGATTCCTGTCCTTCAGGGCCGAGAGACACATTGTCCCTTGAGAGCTTGGGCCAGTGGGTCTGGGAGTAGAGGACTTCCCTAAATGGCCACTGGCAGCTCTATTTTCTAGGTCTTTCCTGGAGTTTCAGTCTGTCCATAAAATGGATTTAATAACAGTCATCTGGCCAGGCATGGCGACACGTGCCTGTGATCCTACCACTCCGGAGGTTGAGGCAGGAGGATCATAAATTGGAGACCAGCCTGAGCCGTGTTGTGAGACTCTATATCAAGACAAAAGAACTTCGCACCCCAACAATCAACAGCAAAAGGCCCACTGAAACCCCACAGGGACAGTATGCCATAAGAACGCTGCTAACCGCAAATCAATAAATGCATGGGCCAGGATTTGGAAATAAGACGCTATAACAATGGGAATGCCACTCAACAGCTGCCCGCATTTTCTCCTCTGAACTTATAATTGGAAAGCTGACCAGTTTCCTTCTGAGCTGTTTGCGTAGTCTGAGACTGAGCACGAGTTTGAGCCTTTTAGGGCCAAGGCGCCCCTGCTGGTTGATCCAGCGTCAGCACCCAGTAGCTAAGAGGTAGGATCTCAGGAGGGTCTGCACACTCCCAAGTCTTCCTGCAGGTGGGGACCTTAATTGGGTCTTTCAGGCTTGCGCCCAGCTGTTCCCCCACCTTGCTCTGAGCGGCGTGTTGGGCATCAGTTCTTCTGGGAGGCTCCCCAGCCTCCCAAGGCTCCTCTGTGGCAGCCTGAGTGGGTAGGAGCCTGTGAGGCCCCCATGCAGAAGGTGGGGGCATAGAAAGCTTGATCCAGAATAAACGGAAAAGTTTACTCTCTGCAGCAGCGAAATAAAAAAGCTCATTCAGAAAGTTAATGATTTATTTTATCGTTTCATTATCAGGGTCACATTACTCAATAGCATTTCAAACATGTCATTTGTACAAACTATGGTAATTAAAATTTATAACATACTTCATCAGCAGCATATGAATCTTTTAGCCGGCACTCTGCTGTCATATAAACAGTGTAATTTCAACTGCAATTCACCCTTTATTGGCTCTCATTTGTGATTTAACAGCCATCAATGGCTGTGCTATAAAGAATAAATTAACCATCCGTAAACCTTAGGATGACAGGGACAGTCAAATAGACTTAAATGTCTTCCGCCCAGCTTCGGGAGCCAGCAGAGAGCAGGTGAAGGCCAGGTATGAGCCGGGGCCCCTCGGTGAGGACCTTGGTGATTCTTGCTGTGTCTTCTCAGCGGGGATGGTACTGGCTGATTCCCAGGTGCCTCTGGCTTCTGCTAGTAAGAATGTCTGCTTCTCTGCTTCTAGTGTGTGTATGGGCAGGGAACCGCTCATTCTACAGGCACCTGGGATGTCTGTGCCCAGGAAGGGACCTTCGCCTCATCGACCAGTAGTTGCCATGTGACAGCATTTAGAAACAGATGGGACAATTTCGGTCAACCTGGTAAGGGGGAAGAAATAATGGCCACCAGGAGCCGGGATCAGTGCCCCTGACCAGCCCGGCAGTGAGTAGGATGTGTGAGTAGGATGTGTTTTCCTCCAGACACCTCTAGCACCCTGCTGAGAAACCGAAGAAACCCAGACTTCTCTTTCTACAGGGAGGAAACAGCCCTGGAGAGGGAGGGCAAGGGCCTTGCTACCTGGGCTCAGAAGGCAGAGGCCGGAGAACCCAGGACAGCTGGAGATGGGAGGCCCCCAGCGGGTCTGCCTGACTCTCGGGGAGGGGCCTAGGCTGGGAACACCCCTTCCCAGGGCCACACTCAGGGCGGCCTTTTAGAGAGGGTAGTTGGGTGATGTGTCTAACCCCATGGCTGGTACTGCACACAGCCCATAAATGAAGTGGATTGCATTCGTTACTGAGACATCTCCAGGGAGCCCGGGTCACGCAGGCCAATAAAATTGGCCTCATAAATTCATCTTGACATGCCGGATTACTCCAGCCCGCTGAGGTCACCTTCCTGCCCTGATTTATCGCCAGCCTATGGGTTAATAACACTGTTTACTGAGTGTTCCTTTCCTTCCTCCTCACCCCTCCCCTTCTTTGAGTAGATACTGATCAAAGCCTCCTTCTGCAGGGGTGTGGTGGCACTGGAATTCGTGGGTTGGGTGCTGAATTCTGAGCTGTCTTAAAGCAATAACTTCTTTTCTTCCCGGGAGTCTCTCCAGTCCAGTTTAGGGCAGAATGGTGTGGGGACAGAGTGCCAAGCTTCCGTTGTCACATGTGTGCTTGTAACGTTAGATAAGAAATGACTTTGTTCAGTTGTATGACTCACTCACACGAGGCTAATGAATGATGGTCACCCTCTAGTTAGTGATTGTCTTCAACTTCGTGTTTGAATAGAAAGGTGGTAGGGACCAATTGCCTGTGCTTGCTTTTTTTTTTTTTTCTTATATTCTTTTAAGACCAGAGGGTAGGTGGTAACGACATGGGAAAAAGCTTACATGGAGACCTGGAGAGTCTCTGAGTTTATTTCTTACTTTTACAAGCTCCCCAGTGTTAACTGGGGTTGCTTTTAAAATATTCCCTACATACACAATGAGTCTTTTCTAGCCCTGGCATCGGTAGCAGCATTACTGTGCTTAAACTTCTGGGGAGACCTTTGAAGTGAACTATGCTCTAGACTGAATCCTGGGACCAGCACACAACAATCCTAACACAGGGGTTCCTGAAGCCTCTGCCTACTGAGTTTTCCTTCCAGAACCTGTGGCTAACCCTTACAGTAAAAGAAAGGTCCTTCACAGATGACTCTGACCTGATCTCAGTGTCCCAAGGAACCTAGGAATCTGAAAAGAGGCGCAGAGCGCTAGTGGGCATCTTTAATGGAATTAGCAAACAATTACCGAGCAATTTCTCTGTAAGTTTTGAAGCCCTGGGAATTAAGCATTAAGCAGCCTCTGCCTTGGAGGTACTGATGGGCTTCCAGAGAATCGTGATGAATGGCTGCTCAGCTGATTGTGGCATGCCAATGGAGGCACAGAGAAACTTAATAAAACTAAGGAAGGAGTTAGTGAGTTCAACTGTGACAAATCTTGGAAGTGGCTTGGGGCCTGGGTGGCCATTTATTCAATCATCAACACTTGGGAATCCTTGTTTTTTCCTTAGCACCGACTCCCAGATAGGCAACATCTTCCTCCTCTGCTGCTGCTTTGGAGCTGATTGCTACCCAGGCCCTGCTCTTTTCTGTTCAACTGGCCTTCTCATTCCCTCTCTCCAATCTCTTTCCCCACCTTAGGCTCTCATCCAGCCTCCCTGATGGCTGATGTGCCCACAGAGAGCATTAAGAAGACAAAGTCACATTTGGGGATTCTGGGCCTGCTTCTGGGACTTGGAGGCTGAGGAAGCTAAGTCGAGAAAACACACAGCTGCGGAAGGGATGCTGAAGTTGTTGGCCAAAGCTGGCCCTGGAGGGAGCACCAGATGCCTGGCCACAGTTAGAAAACCAGCTTCCATGCTTCCCAGGAGCGCTAGCTGGCAGGTGATTAGTGACCAGGGAATCTGTCTTTGCAGACTCTGGTCCTAGAGGACGGAGAACAGAAATGAGGAAGAATGGGGCTTTGGCATAGTGAGAGGGGCTGGGACAGGTGGCAGTTCAAGAGCATATCTGGTACCCGGATGCTAAGACATTTGTTATAACCAACTATCCCTCCTCCATGCAAGAGGATAAACCAAATTCCAGGCCAGGCTACGGAAGCCTGTGCATATGTGACCTCATTGCCCTGTACGGCACCCAAAGAGGTCAGTAGGCGCCATCATCTTTGTCTATAGCCCCAGTGAGAGCCCCTTAGAGAGGATGATAGATAAATTCAAGGTCACATACTTTGTGAGTGATTTAGACAAAATCTATCTGGCCTTTAAGCCCATACTTTTCGAACTCCCATCGGACTGTTTCTCAGCCTCTGAGGAAGCTGAAAATAGGACTTTAAGAGGCTTGGCCAGTGGGTATAGTGGTGCAAACTTGTAACACCCCCTTTCTGGAGGCTAAAATAGGTGATTGTGAGTTCAAGAAAAGTCTGGCTTACATAGTGAGACCCTATCTTTAGAAAATAAAGAGGTTTGACCAGTGCCAGGACCGAGTAACCGCACAGCTGGACACAGAAATCGCTCTTTACTCCATTATACTGTTTCCCACTTGGCTTGGGGGGAAACCATTCAGCAGTTTCTGGCTCTAGAACACTTACTCACTCTGATGACTAATAAGCACTGGGGAATATGGAGATAAATTGTGTCGGAGTGGAGATCTATCTATCTATCTATTATTATCAATCTATTATCCATTTATCACATCTTTCATCCATATTCCATCCTTTATATGTATCTACCATCTATCATATGGCTTTCTTTCTCATCTGTCATCTATCTATCTATCTATCATCTATCTATCCTCCATCTACTAAATTTACTTATCATCTATACACTACCTATCTCTCTATCCACCAATCATATCAATCTAGGTATCTACATATAGATATTGTTGTGTCTGTTCCTCTTGGAAATACCCAAAGTGGCTGTGTTCCCTGGAGTCAGGTAGGGGAGAACTCCACTGGTACTATTTTCCCCGGCAGCTTTGATGCAAGTCTCTGGTAGGTCTGGATTTTCATGGTTGGCCTCTTGGTCCTCTGAGGTCACTGACTAAGTTACCTTCTTCCCGAGTGTGCAGGCAGCATATACGTTCTCTTTTGTCTGCTTTTCTTTGCAAAGGCAGGGTGAGTTCAAAGTGTCTTCTATTAACCAAATCTAAGCGTAGCATGGAGAAACTTCCTAAATTATCAGCATTGCCTTCCAGAGGTCATTTGGTGGGTGACATTTGCTATGTCGGACACAACGAGGCAAAGAGTGATGGCTGGGCAGGAGGCGGGCCACATATAGCAAGCTTTTTCTGCATATCTGATGTGGGAACCAATCTGCTTGTGAGTGTGCTGTTTCTAGAGCTTTCTAAGTCAGTAGTGTTGCTGGAGGGAAGGCCTGGGGATGTCTCAGAGGTAGACCAGTGTGGGCCTCTTCCTGGGTCTCTCAGATCCTGACACCATCAGAGAAAGAATTCAGAGATGAGACAAAGTTTGGAATTGGATAACAGTTTTTATCAAGGATCGAGTACAGGCTCCCTAAGAGAGAGGCAGGATTTTGGTTAGCTGGGCTGATTAGACGTGGGGGGACGGGGCTGATTCTTAAGTTAGGAAGAGGAAAGGAGGGAGAAATTCTATGAAAGGAATACCAGGAATGGGTTGGGAATTTCCCAGAGCAGGATTTACTCAACTTTTCTATTCTTATGTGGACTGTTGAGTCATTGTAGAGACCTGCGATCTTGGCCGCAATCCTCCTCTCTTCCAACAGAGACTTGATCTCAGCTATCTTATCCAGCGCTTTGCGGAGGATGTTGCACTCAGCCTCTGCATCGGCCTTGGCGGTTGTGTAGAGGCCACGCAGCTTTGTCCGGTAATAAGGAGAAATCTTGTTCTCAGTCTGCATCTGCTTGTGGGTTTTCTGGATGTTCACCAAATTGTGCTCATTCCTCGAACGCTCTTCCTGGGTTTGCTTGATCAGCTGATGGAGCTCTGTGAGAAGCTCTGCAATTCGGGCATCAGCAGAAACGAGGGCCATGGAATGGGCCTGTGAAGGACATCGAGTCTAGGGCGAAACAGCACGTCGCGCTGGTGACTGCGATAGCGGGAACAGGAGAGTCGCTGGAAGGCTTCTTCACAGGGTACTATGGCACTTGTGTTCGAAGGTTCACGGCACGTCAAGAACCACACACACTGTTTCTCTTATGTACCAGATGCGTGGTAGGAGCTGGGTATTCTGCAAGCCTGTAGATATAGAGATGCCATTAAAATGAAGCAAAGGACCTTCTGTGGTCATCTAGATCGGCTGCATCAGTCCCAGCTGGTTCTGAGTGGTCTTTTTTTTTTTTTTCTTATTTTTTGAGAGTTTAAATTGTGAGCTGCTGCACTGTGGCTCTGCCACCACACCAGCCTCTGACAGTGATACAGTGTGTCTCTCCAGTCCATGTCTTTAGTACTGAGTTACCCTGGAGCAAGCCGAAGCTGTATGCTAGGGTTCTAGACCTAGTTCTCCCGCCGACTCTCTGCTGTGAGATGGAAGAGCCTTCAGTATTCCTGTCTTCATATCCCTCAGCTTCTCCGTTAGTCTGTTGGGGACAGACAACAAACTTGCTGGTGACCAAGACAGGACTCACAGCAAAGCACTCTCAGGACACAGGCAACACTACCATTGGTGATGGGAAGCCCTGCTCCGTTACTCTGACTTTGAGATGCCCATGAAGTTATTTATCAACTATTGCATGAGGGTAAAGATAAATTTGCCTCCCTGTCTACGCCCTTCCAAATTCATAATGTGCCTTAGTCTACAACCGTACCTGGAGATGCAGTCCCTAAAGACTTGACAAAGTTAAGAAAAAAAAAAAAACAAAAAGCTGAGGTTGCCCTGTGAGCCCTAATCCAATATGAAGGAGACACAGATGGCTAATAGAGCAGAGATTCACGTGAAGTCCCAGGGACGAGGTGGCCATCTGCAAGCCGATGAAAGAGGTCCCAGAAGAAACCGGCCCTGCCTACACTTTGATCTCCAGTCCCCGGCTTACAGAACTACAAGGAAATAAGTCTCTGTGGTTTGGGCCCTCTCGGCAGATGTTGCTTTATTACATCTGTCCTAGCAGACTATTGCACATGGCAGATGGACTTACTCATCTCGTTTACAAACACTCGGGGGAATTACAGAGAGGGCTGTAATGAAGGGCCTGTCCGGCCAAGGCCTGGGGTAGGCGTGTAATTGGGAACAATTGCATGGGTTTCACCTACAGTTTTCTAGGTGTGTAGGAGGAATTCTCATTTGGGCTTCCTTGTTTAATCCTCCCATTTGCCTCCGCAAGAAACGATTGCAATTTTCAATTTGCTGACGGGGAAACAAGCCCAGAGGCTCCGGCAACTTGGCCACACAGTGAACCTCAGTGGAGCCCGGGATTCTGATGGTTGATTTGCTTAAGTGTTCTGCTTCAGGACCAGTCCAGGAAACAACTTGAGGGCTGAACCCAACCACAAGGTGACCGGCTGGAAGAGTAATTTCAAAGAAAGAAATCAAGGTGAGGCACAAGAAGAATTTCTAAACCTTTTCCTAACCAGGACAAATGGCCGGGAACCCGAGCTCTGCAGAGATTGCCTGCCACATCTCCAAAAGCGGCTCTTGACACAAGCCAATGCCTCGCTGCCTCTGAAATTTATGCCGGAGTTTAGACAGGAAGCACAAATCACAGTAATCTCCCGATGAAAGATCACTGTCTCTGCAAATGCATTACCTGCTTGGAAAGCCACATGGTAAAAATACTGATAACGCGTGGGCACAGGGAGAGCGATTTCCGTGCCCGGGCACCGCCAGCTAAAATGCACGCACCTGAGCAAGAGGTGGCAGATGATAAAGTAAGTCACGGGAGCCCAGGAGCAGCTTCTGTGTCGGGCCGTGACTCCGACACTTGGAACAAAAGACCAAAGATGATCCTGTCTGGGTGTTTTCTCCATTTCCAACATGGGTAGGCATCAGGGTGGAGGAGGCCTGAGGGGAAGGTGCCATGTGCCTATCCTTTTTCTGCAAGAATCCAAATATTCTTTGGGTTCATGGGAAGAGAGATGCAAGAAGAGGGAGCTCTACACTGACCTTGCTGCAAAGAACCTGAGCTTATCTTTCCCTGCTTTTGTCTCTCTGAACATCTTCCACTAGCCCCATTGGAGTCTGCTGGCTCCTTTCATTGGCTTTTAGGATGGGGGTGGAACTTGCCTTTTCATCCTCTTCTTTCACGTCCACCCTTCTCTGTTCTTAGCTGCTTCCTGATATAGCAAGATGGAGGAGACCTGGGCCCACACTCTCCTGCTCTCTGTGGTCATAAGTCGGGCTTAGAACTGCTTAGCAGTTGCGCCCTGGGCTGGTTCCTTGCCTCTCTGGAACCGTAGCTGCGGTCCACGCACTGCCCCACCTTCTCTCAACCTCAGCCACTTAGGTTACAGCTTGAGGGTGGGTCTTGCGCAGCCTTCTTTGCAATGTTCTCTTCTGCTGCAGTGTGAGCTGAGTGCCAAGGCTAGTTTTCCTCTCCACTCTGCTCAGGAGGGAAGCAATTCGTCGCCTAATGGGCCTGCTGAACAGGTGCGTGCATCCCTCTTACCGAAATGATTACTGGGTAAACAAAGCAGAAAGAACCCAGATTCAAGTACATTGCCCTAAAGGGGAAAATAATACTTCAAAATGGTCAAAATGCTTACCAACCTCATGAGTGGGAAACAGGAAAGACACTCTGAGACGGGCTCTTCCAGTTGAAACGAGAAAGTCAACCTCTGGCCACCAGCTGTCCACCCCGAGGTCAGCTGTCCTCCAGAGGGCTGTCCTGGTGGGAATAGAATTCGACAATATCTATTCTACCATTTTTTCACCTTCTTGACACAAACGAGTAAGAACCCAAGAATCAGCGTACATGGAGAGTCCACAAATGTGCTTGTGGCAGTATCCAGGGCTGATGTGAAGGAAAAAAGAGGTGGCTTCACAGATGGCCCTGAGAGGTGCCCCAAAGATCTGTCCAGAGGAACTGGCTTCGATGTCAGGGTTCAAGGGGTGTGGCTGCAGGCGTGCCCAGGACATTCCAAGTAAGCGATGGTGAAGGATGATCCTGCAGCTAATAAACGAGCTTGCAACAGGTGTGCCATGCCCGCTCCTCCCTTTATTGAACCCAACTTCCCATTTACTATCATCCTCCCCAAATGGGTTATTGCTCCATAAAACCAAACAGCATTTGGAACCCACAACCAAACACCTCTCCTGTGATGGTCTTCTTGTCATGTGTTAATAAGACAGACTCCTAACTGCCCTGGAATCTAGAGATTGGATTGTTTCCACCAACCGTCTTGGGTGTCTTTTAGCTCTTGGTACTCTTTCTCTTTCCCCTTTCCTCCCATGAAATGAAAAGCTTCTCAGGCAAGCACGTGAACACTTACTTCTTGCACTGGGTCTGGGACTGCTTTCAGGAAACGCCTGTGGACTTTTTAAGAAAAGAAAGCCAAGAGCCTGAAACAAGGCAGAGAATGGGTGATGTAGAGAGAAGGTGGAATAGTTAAGCCCTTGGCTGAGACTATAGTTCGAACAGATGTGAAATAACACATAAGCAAGATGTAGCATTTATTCGTCCGCCTAAAACTATTTATTTGGCTAGGGTGTAGCTCGCTCTGTGCAACATGCACTTAGCATACACGGGGCCCTTGGTTCCATCCCTGGCACCCTTAAAAGTGTCAGGTGTAGTAGATGAACGGTAAGCAAAATGAGTATAGATGCATCTTCATCTCTGAGCATGCTCCAAAGCATCGCAGGCATACACATAGAGGTTAGAACTGCAGAAATGGGAAGAAGTGTTAAATGGGCTCGTGGAGACACGAATAGTAGGATTTGATCAAATTGAAGAAGACAGAGGGATTTTCCCAAGGAAGTGACAGCAGAGTGAAGATCTGAGGATGAACAGAAGGTTATTAGGTGAAGTGGGAAGGGGAGGGGAAGGAAGAAGAGGGGAGGGGAGGAGAGGGAAGTGGAGAAAAGGGGAGGGGAGCGCAGGAAAGGGAAGGGGAGGGAAGGGAAGGGAAAGGAAAATGTAACTATGTGATTCCAAGCTCCCCAGCCAGGCAAGAGAACTATGTTCTTGTGTTGTAGGAAGGCCACTTGTTTGTTCCCAGCTGCCCAGACTCCTGAAATAACCACACAGAAACTATATTAGTTAAATCATTGCTTCACCAATAGCCTAAGCGTATTTCTGGCTAACTCATATCTTAAATTAACCCTTCTCCATTAATCTGTGTATCACCATGAGGCTGTGACTTACCGGGTAAAGTTCCAGCATCTGTCTCCAGTGGGAATACATGGCTTCTCCTTGACTCTACCTTCTTTCTCCCACCATTGTTTAGTGTTCCTTGCCTAACTCTATTCTTCTAAGCTACTGGCCAAGACAGATTCTTTATTAACCAATGGTATTCACAGCATGCAGAGGGGAATCTCATATCTCCTCCCCTTTTCTGTCTAAATGAAAAGGAAGGTTTTAATTTTAACATAGTAAAATTATATATAACAAAACAGGTATCTAGTAAGGATTATAGTTACAATATTTATATCTAATTTATCTTTTATCATAACTAAGGGAAACTATAATTATAACTATCTATTCTTCAACTCCATCAAAGACAACAGAAAGATACAATATTACCTAAGTTAACAGGAAGTACTTTAAAAGAAACTTCCAAATCTCTAGGATTGATAGAGACATCTTATTGCCTGGACAGTCACCCAATGTTCTTCTGTAACTTTGGGGCATACATATTCAGCCTACTTGCCCATAGTATTCAGCAGACTTTTCCATAAAGCAGGAACTTTCAAGTTCTGCCTATATTGGCAGTTTCTTCTTCTGTGTCCTGCAGAATGTCTAGCAGACTCTTTCATGAAGCAGGAACCCTGAAGGATCTTCTCACCTTTAGGCAAGTTCAGCAGTCATTTTTCTGTGGGTCCTGCACATCCAATTCATACAGTATATCATCAAGCAGTCCAGACAAGAGCAATTTCTTGCCCAAATGACTAGCAAACTCCATTATCCTTTTGAAGTAATTGTGCTGTCAGGAGCAGATGTGTCTCATTGTTGTGAAAAGTCCTAAGTTTAAAAAACATTTTAAATGCCATATTCTGTAGGTCTCTGAAAGATTTGAAGAATACCTACCTAACTGAA